GATTTATTTCTGTTTAACTCATTTGGCTTCCATACATCGAGATTATGCTATTGCAAATATAATTGATTCATCTAATATTAGCATGGAGTTTTGATAATTATTATTCAACAGGTAATTTTGCCACCATCTTTCGGAGAGAAACCAATTTCCCTGAAGGAAACTGAAAATGAGGAATTAAATGTGGCGCAGAAAGCATTTTAGTAGTGTTAAAGGATTAGCAGATGAGCTCCACTGGAAAGCAAGGAAAGTTCATAATGAGGATCCAAAGTCGGCGAAATACCATTACACAGAGCATCCTCTTTCCCTGTTCTGAATCGCAATACCTTTTCTTTAAAGTATATGGTCTGCATAACTTACGTTAAATGGGCGCCAAGAGGTCCATGGCATCTGCAGAGTTAACGACAAGCCTATTTTTTGTGCACAAGCCTAGTTTTCTGCCAAAAACTCGCAATCAGCTCTGGGCTCAGAACTTCTACATTCAATGGAGTTCTCAATAGTATCATTTCGATCGATGATGCCTCTGTGGCCTGCCTAAAATTCAACACTCAGACCAATTCAAAGAATATCGTTCTAATAAGTATTTTCTATTTCGAGCTAAAAACATTTAAGCAGATCTTGATACAAAGTCTCAGACTGTTGAGAAAGATTTTCTGTCGAATGAGCAGCATATCCTGCAAAAATGCGAATATATCGAAACTGTGTTACATATGCTGGTTGCCTTCATGGAGAAGCCACTCAGCGAAAACAGTTTTTTTCCGTTTTTTACAGACCCTGAATTCCTTGTGGTTTTGCACTACTCACAGACCCGAAAATCATAAAAAAGCTCTGAAATCTCATATAGCCAAGTTCCCAATTTTATTTGGGCAGCAACAGTATAGAGCTGAAGAAATTCTCAACAGCCTTCGTTTAAAATCTGATGTTAAATATATGTACGATAAAATATGTATCTCACTCAACCTTAATTTATCGGTAATGAACTTTTCGCCGTAGCTACTTTCGCTGAAATGTATCTATTATTCAATCACTTTAATGAAGTGAAGATGAATATTTTTTAATTAAAAAGTGGTAAATTTCACAGATCTTTTATTAATAAAGGATATTACGTCGCAAATGGAATTTATTCAACAAATGATATTTACAAGCCAACAGTGGGAAGAGTGTGGGAGGGCATGCAAAGTAAAAAAAATATGATGGAAAGATGATAAAAGCAGGCAGAAGAGTCCAGTATGAAGTAAGTATGAAAAATTCCTTGTGAATTTGATAAATATTATTAATTAAGGAAATAATTATTATGGTTGTAAAATTCACCGTGGGAATGCCAATAATGTTGGCTACAAGTGTGTTGCTCATACGCAACGGTGGTCTCATGGTGAGTAACTGACTATAAGGAAAAATTTATTTGGTTAAATGAGGAAAAATATATATTTTTATGTATATAAAACATACATACAAACATTTGTCTACTGCTGCTTAATCTTAGTGGAATATTTCTCTAGCACTCACTAGAAAAGTAAAGTTGCCTATGCTTTTAGCTTCTGAAGCTATTGTGTGTAAAATATTTTTCTTTTCATTTTTTTTACTCTTTTTTTATTATTTTTATTATTTTTCTCGCTGGTGACAATATTTGCTCCGCAAAGTGCATTTTGCCGCACAGACACAGACGCATTAAGAGAGAAATAAATAAATAAACACAACACATACGCGACACGAGTTTCGTTGCCGCTTTCCTTTTTTGTGCAATAAAATGAAGGTTCTTGCCATAAAGCACTCAGAATGTTGCATGCAACAACTACATATATATTGTACAACAAAAACTTATACAAAGTAATACAGAAGAACAGTTTGTAAGCAAGGAAAATCAGCGCCAAAGTAACCTATGTAAGAGAGCGAGAAAAATCACAGCAACAAAACATAAGTAATTGCAACAAAAATATCTACATACGTGTACGTGCGTATTTGTGTATAGATGAATCTAAAGAAATGTATGAAAGCAGTAACTGAGGAAAAGTAGTGAATTAAACGCAGACCTAAAGCAGCCGAAGAGCATCGACGCTCGCACTGACTGCTGGGAAAAAGTCTGTCTAGAGGCATGTCTTTTTAGTCTTCTTAAATATTTTGCAATGGAAAATAGTTCACTTAAAGCTAAATTAAATTGTCATTAATCGCATGCTTGCGCAGTGCATTTGCTCTGAGAGAAGGAATTTGTGTAAGGTAATTTATATGGCATATTTGTGCTGACATATTTTATTTTTTTAAATTAAATTAATTGAATTCTAATTTTTTTTAACTTATTTTGATTTAGTTAAATTTTTTTTTTAATTTCAATTTTTTTTTTTTCAATTTACGTAGAAATACTTTAAATTTACCTATTTTATTACAGGTTTTTATTTGAAATAATTTAGTTTCTTGCTTATTTATTTTCCTTCTTTTTTTTATTTTTTTTATTTTTTTTTTTACTTTCTTATTATTTTATGAGTTGCTTGTTATACTTATTTTACTCTATTTTATTTTATATTTTACTTTATTTTTTAATTTAATAGCTAACCATAGTTAATTTGTTTTATTTTTTAATTAAATTTCTTTGATTTATTGACTTTTTTGTTTAATGGAATTTGATTAAATTTTGATCTTTCTAAATTATTTTATTGTATTTATTGGAATTAATTAATTTAAATAAAAAATTAAGTTACATTTTTTAATTGCGGTCGCCCCTCGGCAGGGTATGTCAACTCCTCCGGGTGTATTTCGGACATGAAATAACGGCTCCTTGTAAACCATCAGCCGAGGCGGCTTAGTATAAACTGTAGGTACCCTCATTTTGCTGGAAAAACATCAAGACGCAAAACCACAAATTGAAGGAGGAGCTCGGCCAAAAAATCGCGTCAGCGGATTATATATGTATATATAGATTTAATTTTGGGTTGTATTTAATTAAATTTAATTTTTAATTGTTTTTTTTTATATTTTTTTTCCAAATCTATCTTAGTTTTTCTTTAGTTTAATGTATTTTATTTGATTTTCTTAATTTAAATGAAGTTAGTTCATTTTCGCTCCATTTTAGTTTATTTTTTTCATTTTATTTCACTTCATTTCATTTAATTTTTATTTAATTTTATCAGTTTGTTATATTTATTTTACCTTAGTTTATTTATTTTAAATAAAATAAACTTAATTTAAGTTTTATTTTATTTTAGCTTTTGTATTCCATTTTATTTTATTATTTATTTGATAAATCCACCTAATTTGGTGTTTTAATTTTTTTATTCAAATTTTTTCAACTCAATCTTAACTATTTTTATTTATTTTTTTGTACTTTATTTGATTTTAATTTTTTAAAATTAATTTTAATTTTACTTAAGTAAGTTCAATTTATTTTTTTTCTTTTTTTTATATCAACATTTAATTTTTATATTTTTATATCAACAATTAATTTTTTTAAATTTTATTAAACTTTTTAATATTTTTTTTAACTAATTTAATTTATTTTCCTTTAAGTTTGTTACTTCTAACTAATTTACTTCTCTTTATTATGTTAGTTTGTTACTTCTAACTAATTTACTTCCCTTTATTATAATTTTTTTTTTAATTAAATTGACTTCATTAAATTTTATTTTTATTAGTTTTTTATTCAATTTTATTTCACTTTATTTTATTTTATTAACTACATTTATATTTTTAGTTTATTTGATTTTTTAATTATAATTTATATTATGTTTTTATTTTTTTTATGTTATTTTAATTTATTTTATTAATTTAATTATTTTCATATAAATTGACTACAATAAAATATTTTTTAATTTACCTTTCTTTATATATTGAATTTATTTGACTTTATTAAAATAAACTATATATTATCCTTTTATTTTATTTTTACTAATTTTTTGCATTCTTATTTTTGGTTTTTTTCTTTTTATTTTTTGTCCTATCTTATTTTAATTATATTTTTTACTTTTATAACGTTTTATTTAGTTTTTAATTATTATACATCTTTTATTATATAATATTTGGCGTTAATATAATTTAAATATAAATAAATTAATATTTATTATTCCGTTATTTTATTATATTCTACTTTTTGTCATATATAGTTTAATTTTTTTACTTAAATTTTTATAACTTATTTTATTTATTTTGTAGTTTTTTTTTGTATATTATTTTACTTACATATATCTTTTTAATTCTTTATAAATATTTTATTTATTAATTATTTAATTTCTTAAATTTATTTTGCTTTATTTTTAACTTTATTTTATTATTACGTAAAAGTTTCTGCATTTAGTCACTATTGTTTTCTATAACTTCAAGGTTACTGACATGCCTTCCTCGTTATACTCACTGCATTCTCTCGATAAATGTATGTATATATGCATTGTTCTTCATGTGTGTCGCTTTAGCTCGTAAATGTGTTGTAAGCTCTACGTAAATGTCACTTTGCACGCATAAATCCGTGTTATATTTATTAGCTCACGTCAATAAGCGGATATACATATATATATATATACAGAGTAGTGCTCAAAGGCACACACGCATGTGAGTAGTAAAGAAGAGTGTGGGCGTGTGTCGTTACTTGCATGCAGAAGGGGAGAGGACAATTTGGGTAAGAAGAATGTTGATAAAAGAGGTGGAATATGATTGCTGATTTTTTAGTAAGAAATCTATGTTAAAGTAAATTAGAAGTTGCCGTAAGATTTCTCGATGTTTCGTTGGAGTTGACACTGAGTGTCTAAAAACATACTCATGAAGACAGTCTAAAAGGATGAGTTTTCAGAGAGATTGTGAGTTTTTAAGAGTCAGTACCATATGTCGTAAAGTCTGCTAAGGTCGAAACTTTGATGGGAATGAAGGCAAGCAAAGCATAGAAATAAAGTCACTTGGTACTTTCGTTGTCCCTACCCAGTAGAACTTCTTAGAAATACTGAAAGGAGCTTGGCAATATCCTACACCTAAGTTCTTAGCGACATAATAAAGCAATTCTTCGGTTATTCTTTAAAATTTTGCATTTTATGTTTGTTATATTTTCTTTTTTTTTATAAAAATATAAAAATCGTCACGAGATTATACACTGAAGCGTCGTGCCTGACTCAAAACTTGTTCTGGATTTATATCTTCGAATTCTTTGGTACTTCTATAAACAAACAGCATGCCTATACCGAATATAACTGTAATGAGAGAGAGGAAGATAAAGAAGAAAAGAAAGATAAAAAGAGAGGTTAGAATAAAGATAAAGATAAGAATAAAGATAAAGCTAAATTTACAGATAAAGACGCAGAAGAAGCTAAAGCTAAATCTTAAGATAAAAATAATGATGCAGATAAAGATAAATATAAAGATAAAGATTAAGATAAATTTAAAGCTAAAAATACTGATAAAGATACAGATTACGCTAAAATGTAAAGATAAAAATTAAGATAAAAAAAAAATACAGATAAAGATACAAATAAAGCTAAGGATAAAGATAAAAATACAGATAAAGATGAAGATAAATCTAAAAATAAAGATAAAGATACCAATAACACTAAAAGATAAAGATAGAGGTGGAGATAAAAATAGAGATAAAGATACAGATAAAGCTAAGTATAAAGATAAAAATACAGATAAAGATAAAGACGAAGATAAAGCTGAAAAGAAAGATAAAGATACAGATAAAGATAAATATAAAGATAAGAACACAAATAATGCTAAGGGAAAAGGTAAGGATAAAGATAAATAGAAATAGATAAAGGTAAAGTTAAAGATACAAATAAAGATGCAGAAAAAGGTACAGATAGAGGTACTGATAAAGATAAGCGTAAAGATAAAGATAAAGATAAGATAAAGATAAAAATAAAGATAAAGATAAAGATAAAGATAAGGATAGAGATAAAGATAAAGATAAAGATAAAGATAAAGATAAAGATAAAGATAAAGAAAAAGGTAAAGATAAAGATGAAACTAAAGCTTAAGCTAAAAATAAAGATAAAGATAAAGATAAGCTAAATATAAAGATAAAGATGAAACTAAAGCTAAAGCTAAAAATAAAGATAAAGATAAGGATAAGCTAAATATAAAGATAAAGCCTAATATAAGGATAAAGCTAAAAGTAGCGATAAAATTAAAGAGAGAGAGAAATGGAGATTGAAAGAGAACGCATTAGCAGATCTGCTCTATAACTAATTTTGCAGTGCTGACAATTTAATTTGTGTGTTCTCTTCATTAAGCGTTAAGTATTGACGAACTCGAAAGTATTTTTTGAGAATTTCAGTTAGAGCTTAATTTAATTTTGCGTAAAGTTAAATTATTTTCTATTTCTTCAAATATCTATTTCTCTTAAATTCTATGTCACTTAAATGAAGTCAACTCACTCGTGCTGGTCGTATTGAATATCATTAGCATGTGAAAAACATTCGTAATAAATACTAAAATGCCATGCATCACCAAATCCTCTATAAGAAAACTGATTATAACGGTAAACGCTGGTGAGAAAAATGCAAATAAATTCTGAAAATTAATTAAAAATAGAATTGACAAGTTTAAAATATAAAAAAAAAGTATTAATAATTTCTCAACTTCACCTCACAAAGTCCCGCTAACATCCAGAAGCCGGCAAATAACGCAATTATATTTGTTATGAAGGTGATCCATAAGTATGTGGTAGGATTTGCATAGACTGAAAAGAGATGGCGAGAGAGAGACAGAGAGATAGAGTGAGAGGGAGATAGAGAGAGAGAGAAAGGGAGATAAAGAGAGAGAGAAAGTGAGTGAGCGGCAAAAATTCAAGTCCAAGTTAAAAAGTATTAATCAATGATGAGATAATGAAATAAATCAGTAAATAAGAAAATAAAAAAAGATACAATTATTGCGAATCAAAGTAATATGCAAGAGCGTGAAAAAAATGCTCTGATAGTTTCTTCTTTTCTGTTATAAAGAAAGCCTTTAGCTGTATGTAGACAGCCGTTTATCTTCATCCCCCATTTATTTCTAATTATTTTTCTATCTTAAAGACTTCAATCAACCTTTCTTCGCTTTCAAACCATTTATCCATACTCACCACTAATTTGTGTTTGCAGCAGTGAGCAACGTGGATATTGATTCAATGCAAAGAATGCCATAAAGAACGTCTTTGCACAGAATAAGAATGTTATGATAAATGCGATGATCTTAATCGGACTATACATGTTTGATTTGAAGGCAAAAATGAATAAAAAATTCGTTAATAAATATTAAAATGTCAAAAGTGCTCGAAATAGAAAAGTACAGGGTGATACAAGTAGAAAAAAATTAATACAAATTGTTAAAAATACCCATATTATTTTACTTTCTAAAAGTTTTAAATAGAGTATATACATATATTTATATTTTTTGTACTCTTCAGAAGGTAGAAAAACGGCTCTAAGCGCTTGGTTAGTCCTTCAAAGTCCTCGCGAATTCCATGAAAATTATTTTCTCCGGAAGTCATTTCAGGGAAAGGTGAGGAGATACTCAGGATGAAGGTTTTTCTTCTAAAAGTTAGTACGTCAATGCTACCACTACTATCCATAATCAAATTATTACCAAACGGCTTAAATCAGTTACTTCTTAGTGCAGTTGAAAATCATTTCTTACGTCTCGTCGTTGCTTTAGAATCTTCTCTAAGAATTTCCAATTCATTTGGTATATTGTCTTATAAGGAAATGTTCAGTCAGAATCTGAAAATGATCTCTTCAATGTCCACTTTTCTCAGAGAAAATGAGCACTGCGAACTCCGCCATTCCCATTTCGACCAAGTTTGCCTCGACTTGCGATAGGTCAAGTTTTTCCTTACCTAAATGTAGCCCGTTTGTAAGTGTAGTAGCAGTTTGCAAGTGACTGGGGCAGGACAATGTATTTATTAAGCCACTTTATTTTACGATAGTTCTTTGACAGGCATAGAGAACGGTGAAGATCTTCTCATAACTCTGAGTCATATGCTCCCTCCAGCTCAGCGTCCTGTACAGAAGTACTCCTAAAACTGCACTTTACCTCTCAGAATTAGATGAACTTTATGTAGAATTGGTAGGCTGATTGACGCAATTTTGTTGTTCCTGCTGAAGGAAGCAAGTTCCACCATTTTTGAGTTAATACAACGTCCAAAGCTACTGGAACACAATAATACTTTGCGTAGTAGTCCCGGAATTGGAGCACAAAAAGTTTGTGGTAACTTGCCTCTGATATTCCACGACTTTGTGAGCTTAATATAAGATTAAAGAGTATGGGTGAGAGAAAATCCCGCCGAGGTGTGCCTCTGTTAACATGTCTGGGGAGTCGAGATTTCACAAAGCGAGAGGTCACTGCTCTAAAATGCAGCAGCTGAATAATAAAGAGTCCGTCAGTGAAGTTTTCACATATAAGCTTTCTCTTACGGCATGAGGTCGTGGGTTATTATAAGCTCTCTCTATTTCCAAGAAAGCGACGAGACAGTGATCAGTATTGTACAGGGGCTACTCATGTTAAATTAAATACTTAATTTTAATATACATAAATTTTTTTTAAATTATTTTGTTTCATTTTTAAAACATTTTAGCATTCAATTTTTAAATTTTTTTAAAACGTCTGTTTAAAATTTTTTAATTGTTTAATTTTTAAACATTTTAAAATTAACATTAAAATTTTTTTAATATTTCTCTTTGAAATTTTTTTAGATATTTAATTTTAAATTTTTTTAATATTAAATTTTAAATTTTTTTTAATATTTAATTTTACATTTTTTTCAGGTATTTAATTTCAAAATTTTTTGTTTAAATTGCAAAACCCATTTTGAATTTTTTTATATACATTTTTTTTCATATTTATTTTTTAATATTTAATTGCTCTTTTTAATATTTTTTTATATATATTTTTTAATTTAAATTTTTTTTAGTGCTTTATTCAAATGTTTTTCTTTTTAATTTTTTTTATTTTTTAATTTGAATTAAATTTGCTGACCTTGTTTTTCATATATAATTTTTTAAGAGACTTTTTTGATTTTTTTTTTTAATATTATTCTAAAATAAATTGTTTTTACAATTTTATTTAATTCATCAATCAAATATTTTTCATTTTAATTATAGATTTTCTTAATTTGTAATGTTTTTTTCTAACATTCTTTTTTATATTTTATTTTCTTTTTTAAAATTGTTTCATTTAATTTTTTTTTTATTTTATACAATTTTCTTTAGTAAATGTCTTTTTTTAATTAAAAGTATTTTTTTATTTTATTTTGGCTTCTTATTTCATATTTTTTAATTTAAAATTTTTTTAGTTCTTTTTTCAAATATTTTTCTTTGTGATTTTTTAAATTTTTTAATTTGAATTATATTTTCTAATAAAATCTAATCTTAGTACATATTTTATTAAATACACTTTTTTGAACTTTTTTTTTTAAATAATTTTTTTCTATGCAATATTTTTTTCAATTCTTCATTCAAATAATTTTATTTTTAATCATTAGTTTTGTTAATTGGAAATAAATTTTTTAATATTCTTTTTTATATTTCTTTAACTCTTTTTTAATTATTTTTTTCTTCTTTTATATTTTATATACATTTATATATATATGCTTTTTTCAATCAAAATTTTTAGTTTTAATATACTTTCCTTCTAATATTTGTCTTAATTGCCAATTTTTTTGTGTGCTTAATTCAAATATTTATAAAGTCAAAAAAGGCGGAAACTTAAATAAGCTATTTACTATAATTTTCTTGCAACTTTAACCAACTGACTGCTACGCCAAAACTAAACACAGCTCCCTACCACACTCTGCTCTCCCAGCAATTACTCACCACCTCGCTATCTGTGCGGTCGGCTTTCGCAGGCTTTTGAATTTCAATTGTAGAAACACTTATAACTTGGCTGAGTACAAAACATTTTATAGCCCAAATTATGTGGTTATAAGATGGACAATTGCATGGCACGGACAGATAAAGCCAACACAGAGCACAGAGCGGTAGAACAACATACAATACAAGTAGAGTAGAATGAGTAAAAGATAATAACTGTATACGCTATATATAATATGTATGCGTGCGTGTGTAGTGGTGAACAGTGAAATTTCCAGCAATTTGCTAAGCACTTGGTAAAGTTGATTTTATGGGCAACTCGACTCGACTGCAAGCCAGAAGTGGAGGAAGAAGAAGAAGCGACAGCAGCAGCAGCAGAATCATCATCAGCTGAAGATGAACAAGTTTTATTATCATAGATACTTGTCGGCCTTTTGAGTAAAATAAATCTGTTTTCATTCTCTTGCTCTTCAAGAGTTTTTGCCAAAAATCTTGACGATTATATCAGCCACAAAAGTTGGCTAAAATAAATCTTTGCACATTTGTTGTCTTCTTTGTTTGCTCTGTTGGATAAATGCAAATATATATGTTTGTGTGTGAAATGTGCAAAAGCAAATAAATGCTTGTGAGTGTGTGTGTGTGTGTATGCGTTGCAACTGTAAACTCATTGGCCACTGTTGCCAACAACTTGTAGACTTTTCATAAAACTTTCTCGAAGAACGAAAACTTACGGCTTACATACTCGTAAAGAGTACACAAAAACCTCTTATATCTTCAGGTGCCCATGGGGATCACCCTGTAGGAAAAATCTCATATTAATTGCTGCCTGAGGAGCTAAAATTTTTAAGTAGATTAGTAAGCTTTACAGCAATATTTTCATATATCAGTTGTAAGACTAAAAGTTAATCCGCAAAATCTTATTCTGTTATTAAATTTGGGCAGTGTTGCCACCTGTTGTCAATATCAAATGATTAAAAACCTTGAAAAATCAACATGACTTTGAGATTAAATATGATTTAAAGATTTTAATTGTTTATTGTTTGTGAGGTAAATATAAAAAATATTTTGGTAGAGTTGCCATCTGTTTTAAAATTTTATTTAGCTAAATATACCAATAAAGTATAATACGAACTCTGATAGAGTGAGGGTTGCCAACTTTAATATGCTTACAAATTTTATGATATTATTATATTGGTATCTGACAAACTTTGAGAAAATATGTATGTATTCTTTGCGTAGGGTTGCCGCCATTAAAAAAAATTTAAATTTACAAATTTTAATACAATTATTTGGCATCATATCTAGAGATTTTGAGAACATAAGTTAAAATTTAAAAAGTCATCTTTCTCTTTTAAAATGTTTCTTCTAATTTCGAATTAACATACGCTGGATTGAAAAAAATGATTTTGATTTTTATGACTATAATTAAATTATCAAAAATTTATGAGAAAATTTGAAAATGTTTTTAAGTTTTATACGAGACTTTTTTTTCTTACCAAGATCCGAAAAATTTCTATTTCCACAATTTGTTTGGATTTTAAATATATGTTTTTACTTTTTTCTTTTGGTTTCAAGTGGTGTTTTATTGATAAATTCTGTGCTATTAAGTATAACACAATTTAAAAAAAAACATAACTTTTTTTTCCTACAGGGTATAATGTGTTCAGGCATTTACATAGCGCATTGCTCATCCTCCGCAAATAACTGTAAATTTCCATGCCAAGTCCAAACCGTAAGTTTTCATATATATTCAAAACTTTTAAACTTTAATGCTTAGCTTAAAAATATCAAAAATCTTTTGTTTTTTTTTGAGTCTTTATGCATGACAGCTTTCAATAAATACAGAAATATGTTGTATATATGGTTGCAGGATATTTATTAAATGAATTTTTGTGCTTGACGACGTTTAGAATTCAAAATAATGAACTTAATTTCATTTGTCATTTGCCATTTGTCTTTTGTCATTTGTCATTTGTCATTTGTCATTTGTCATTTGTCATTTGTCATTTGTCATTTGTCATTTGTGTCATTTGTCATTTGTCATTTGTCATTTGTCATTTGTCATGTGTCATTTGTCATCAGCTTGAATGACTAATAAATTTGTCACATTATACTTTTGTTCACTTATACTTTTTTTTTAAATAATTTTCAATTATTTTATTAACTAAAAGTAATTTTTAGTAGATGAACTACTTTACTAACCACAAATTGTGCATGAATTATTCTTATTTTTTCAATAAACCTCATAAATTTCTGTATCGCCAACATGCACTCATTTATCTAGGAAAATGTGAAAAATAATTAATTTCAACACAACAATTAATGACGACTATTTATTGCAAAGCAACAAAACTTTATTTGTGGAGCTCCAAGGCTCAACGTCCGCCAGTCCTTGCGATAAAGGGTCGAAAGTTTTATAATAAAAACATTTCCGAGCACAGCAGCAA